TGTCTTTTAATTTCTTATATAATTACCCATCCATCCATCCATCCATCCATCCATCCATCCATCCATCCATCCATCCATCCATCTGGAAAAAACTGATGTGCTATGAAAACCTAGGAAATAATTATATATACATTACCTTTTTAATTCTGTTTTGGATAAATTCTTGTTCCTGAGACGACTGTATGGTTGCTATATCCCCACGGAGCCAACCACACACAAACTGAAAACTGTCCCAGTTTGAGGGGCTGTCATAGAAAAGGTATTCTGCTCCTTGATAATAAAACCATGGTAACTCTAAAAATTAAGTTAAATACAATCTATTTGAATGTGAGAAAATGTCTTTGAGTTATGTATTTTTATTGTTAATGAAGCAAACATCAAACACCTAGTGCTCTACAAGAACCAACACTATCAAACCTAATACTGTAGAACAGTGGTGGGTTGCAGGCAGTACGCCCCGGTACTAGCGTACCGGTGCCTGCCGGGAGCACCGGGTACCATTCTGGTACGGTGTTCCGGAGGGCACACCCGCCCTCCTTACCTGTATTTGAGCTCCTTGGCGCTTCCACGCACAGAGCATATGGCACCTGTGTGATGCTCCGCCGAGCAGCTGGAGTGTCATGGAGGCGTCATGGAGCATCACAGGAGGTAAGAACGCATGTGTGCACTGCACGCATTTATGTGGTGGACGCCAGGCCCTGTTGCACCGTACCGGTTGCAACGGGATCCGGAACCCACCACTACTGTAGAAGATGAGTGGTTGCTAACTACATTTGGCTTACCCTTGAGATTTAAAGATTTAAATTTTAATGAACTAGGCATGTTCAATAGATCATTATCATTCCATTAAAATGCAGAAGTTATTCATATATTTAATTTTCTCCCAGTGAAATCAATGGATTTAAATATGGTTAGCATAGCCCTAACTATATTTTACATTGAAAGCAGAGCAATTATTTCTTTGAATGGAGCCTAACGTGTAGAAACAATAGCAAATTCTCTGGTATTTGTCCAGACAGTAACAGACTATTTAGCTAGTAACTTGTAGATGAATGCATTCTAAAAATATATGCAATTAAATATTATCTTTATCTTAAGGAAATATTTCACCGAGAAAAAAATTAAGCATTTGAACAACTAGTGCATTAATATCAATGGAATACAAGCACATCTAACATTGTCATTGTCATTGTGATTCTTCTTGCTTTTAATAAAGAAATATTTTGAGCTACAATTTATTGTATTAATCTTGTGATGGCCTGCCTCCAAATCTTTGCCCCCATTTCCTTCTTCAATGACTGACTGCAAATTTCACTTGTAGATGTTGCCCTTTAAAGTACCAAGAACATAAACAAGTTGCATATGCCCACTGTGCTGCTGAAATACATCAAGGCTTATAATGTTCAATCATTTATTATTCCTCCCTTGACACTGCCAATCAAACAGCAGACGGGCCAACAGTGCACTTTTGGGCTTGATGCAGAGAAGCAAAACCTGTGACTCAACCACAATAAAATCACATTGTAGAAATATATCAGCAAAATGCCTGATATTTAACAATGTCATTTTTGGGTGTTGTGGTGTGAAGTTAATTTGGATTTTCATAAGTGTAGGAAAGTTCTGGCATGTAAGAATTCTCATTCTTAGAATTAAGCAAAACCACCTAAAACAACAGAAAAGTAAGTGCCATCTTAAATGAGGCATCGTTTAAGGCACTTCTAGGTTGAAAGAATTTCCTGGTGATATCACCATTGTCCATGAAGGCTCCTTTCATTTGCTTGTCAAGAAGCTGGGGCGAGTGATGGGAACTCACCCCACTATGCAACAGCACTCAGATCTTGAACATGAGCTTGCTAAGCTCCAACCCAGCATCCTAATCACATAAGCCACCATGCTCCCGCAGAATTGATTTATTAGGAAGCTTCCAATCATGCTATAGCTGCCCATTGCTTAGGATGAAATGGCTATTAAAATTTTGAAATCATATTTTGTAGTTTAACATACATAAACTTACATAACCCTTCCTCCCTTCCTTTTCATTTTTATATCATTTGATAGAAAAAGTTGTAATTTACTGCAAACATGATACATATTCAGGCAGTATTTTTTCAACAAACTTTTACTAGATCTACCAATCTTCTTGAACAACTGTTTGGAGGCAAAAGTCACTTCTTCTCTTCTCCTATAAGTAAAACTAATCTCATTGGAAATCTGAATCAATTCCATCATTTGATAGCAAGTTACAAGTAGAAAAGCTAAGAACAAAAACAAATCACTACATGATTCTACAAAAGAAAGAACAGTTGTTAAAAGGAGCCCTTAATATTTTTTCTCTGCTCAATGCATCTTTCATAGCATTAATGCTTGCCCATATCTGTCTATAAGTGCCACCAACTGGTATTTTGAATTGAATTAACTACCATGTGCACATAAGGATGCACTTCTAGTAAAATGCTGTTCTGCTTTTTGTAATTACTAAATTATTTCTGTAAGTATTGCTTGCTGTTGTTTTGAAATGAAATCTATAGGAAATTTGCCTGTTTGCTGAAAAAAGCCCCAGAAGATGCTTATTATACACACACGCACGCACGCACACAAACACACATAACACATGTTTTTGAAAAACATGTTTTTTACCCATACCATTAATATACCATTGTGGAGTCTTCGATTTCACACCTGAAACAGAAATAATGTTTTGGTTTGAAGAATATAATGCAGATTTTTTTCTGCTTCTTTTCTCTTTTTTGCCACTATTAAAATATAATTTAACTATATTCTGGCTTAGTGTCATTTTTTTCTTAGATATTCATTACTAAATTTTCATTAGCACTTATTTTAAAGTAATACTTAAATATATAAAAGCCCCAATTTCATAAAAACTAATTGCCTATTATTAGTAAGAAAAAAGAAACCTCCAGTTGATACTTTCCTGCAGACTGGATGGTGCTGTCCTATGCTGGATTAAGACATAGATTACCAGCGCATAGCAGGCTCCTTTTAAATATGTTGAACTAAAATACACATTTTGCCCAACCCAAAGCGCTGTAAGACTGGTTTATTCTGGCCACAACATTCAAAGGAATTCAAGAGCAGCTTCTATTTCTAGAATTTCTAAACCCTTTATTTAAAACTTGAGATACAGGTAGTCCTTGCTTATTCACTAGTTGTTCAGCTACTAGTTTTGAAGGCACTAAAGAGAGAAACTTTTAACAAGTCCTGGAAGCTGTCGCAATCACATTGTCCCTATTAGTGATGCGTTGCTAACCAGTTTACTATTGGTTTGCTCATTTTCGCGCTCACGCAACACTTCTGTGCATGCGCAGAAGAGTCCGGGCAGATGGGTGAGCCTCCTGCCACCGCCACTACGGTTCAGCTGAAACGGGCGGAACCAGGAGCAACCCACCTCTGGTCCCCATAGTCACATTACTGTGATTTGGACACTTCACAACTGGTGCAGTGTTTACAACTATTGCAGTATCTAGTGGTCACATGTTTGCTATTTGTGACCTTCACAGCTGGGGAAGCTAGTAGGAAGTCACAAGTTAGGGTCATGTGATGTCATGCTTTATCAACCATGTGATTCACTTAACAACTACAGATGGAACAGATACCATAAGTTGGTACAATCATATGAAATTGTGCTTAACGACTGCATTGTTTAGTGATGGAATCTTTGGTCCCAAGTGTGATTGGTAAATTGGGACTATTGAATTGATAACTTAATCTGAGGTTTTCTTTATGCAAGGACTGATATCTGCTATTGAGTACTGCTTCTCACCTTAATGAAACAGTGACTATGTATCATTTTAGAAAGCACATATTGCAAGACTTTGTTCAAATGCTTCCTTACCTTTTGGCATTTTACATATCCATTCACGTTCTGAATTGCAGCGCAGTGGCAAAATAGTCCCATTAGCTTTATATGCTGCACAGTTTTTCACATTATCTTCAATAGAAGCTTTTTCTAAAAAGACAGATGAAACCTGCCACAGAAGTATGCATTAAATCTGAAGCATGATACAGAGACTAACTTTAATATATTAAAAAAGAATAACATATTGTGAGAACATAATCAATTATGTCTTATTTAATAACTCTATATGGTTAAACAAAACAGGGCTTATTGAAATGTACACACCTGGTCATGGAATGAACATAGAATTGAAGATTTTTATTAGTAAAAAGATGTATGTATGACCATGAGAAGACTCTAATAGTGGCTTTTTTCTATCATAAAAATTTCCTGCAAATGCTCCTAATTTGAATAATTTCTTTCCATCACAACTTTCTATATGACATCACATCTTCTTGCAGAAGATTCTAGAACTTTGAGAAGTGTGAGTGGCCAATGAATGATAAGATCATTATTTATTTGTTTGCTTGCTGCCCATCTCGCTTAGAGGTGACTCTGAGCAGGACATGAGTTAATTTAATTGCAACTTATATTCCTTAACCCAATTCTGACACTATTGTCTGATGCTATCTTATTAATTAGTTTGTTTGTTTATTTATAATCTTACTTACTTGCTTACTTACTTACTAACCTAATTTATATATCCTTATTGGAACTCAGACAAAGATGATTATAAATGAGAATTGTTACAGTCCCAATTTTTTTTCTTTGATTCTTCGCAAGAAAGACTTTTGGAAAGTGACTGAAAAACTGTTAAGAGAGTTCCAGATACTGGGACTGTCTCCCTATGTAAATTTGCTTCAGGAACGTATCATCCTGAGGTGAATTTACATAGGTAAAATAACATGTTTGACACCATTATATTTTACAAGTTGGGAGAGATTATTTGCTAATAAATATCTGTCAAACCTGAAAAAGAGCTGTTAAACAAATATTAGATTAAGTAAGGAATAAAATGGGGGAGCCATATTGAAGTCATTTAAGCTATCTAAAATTCAGTTCCTTTTTATTTGTTTGCCATACAGGTAAACCCATTAAGCTATCACTTCATAAGCCTTGAAGCAAAAATGTGTTAATGCATTAGAGATCTGATTGTGTGAATGATGTTTCATGCTAAAACTTTGATAGCTTTTGTACTATTATTTCTTGTTAAAATTGTAATAGATTCTGTATGTTTTTTTCAAAGGGACAGTCACATTTTGCCTCAGAGAAGTATTACAAGATAAAATGCTGTGCATTTAAGATTCTCAAGAATACATTACGTCTATAAGGTCATTTGGAAATATACGGGTAGTCCTTGACTTAAAATAGTTCATTTAGCAACTGTTCAAAGTTACAATGTCATTGAAAAGAGTGACATGACCATTTTTCACATTTACAACTGTTGCAGTATTCCCATTCATGCGATCAAATTTCAAATGCTTGACAACCGACTCATTCTTATGATGGTAGCAGTGTCCTGGGGTCATACGATCACCTGTTGTGACCTTCTGACAAGCAAAGTCAATGGGGAAGCTGGATTCACTTAACAAATGTTACTAACTTAACAACTGCAGTGATTCACTTAACAACAATGGCCAAAAAGGTCATAAAATGGGGCAAAAGTCACTTAACAAATGTCTCACTTGGCAACAGAAATGTTGGGCTCAATTGAGGACGTAAGTCAAGGACTACCTGTACTTCAAAAACACTACATTCTTCTGTACTTCTTAAATTAATAGGTTAACTGAAGTAAAACACACAAAGAGCTATTGTTAACACTAGACAGGAAGCTGCTAAAGCAACTTGGACACAACCCCGTTTCTTGTCTAACTTTGTAAGACAATGAGTAAATAAAATAATATTTACAGGAGTTGCATCAGACCATTCCCAGGCTCCTCCAGATAATGGATTCCTTTTGTGAAATCCAATCCAGAATTGTCTTTCATCATCTCTGTGGTTAAAAAGAAATTAACCCCATGATGCAAACTATGTATATTTTATCTTGATTTATCTTCAATTTTTCCAGTACTTATGCATACATTTTAATATTTTCTTAAACCAGAACAGGTTGAATGCTAGGTGCTGTAATGAAATCTTTGAGTCACTTCTTTCTGAAGTTTTTGAAAAAAATATGGCAAATACTGTAAGCCAGTGGGCCCCAACCTTTCTGGCTTTGCGGACCGGCAGTGGCGGTGGCGGGAGAGGGGATGGTTCTGCACTAATGATGGCGAGCATGTATGTGTGCACAGCTCCATTTACACAAGTGGTAGGTGCACAAATGGAGCTTCATGCTTGTATGTGCTCATCTGTTGCTTGTGGAAGTGGAGCTGGCCGCAAGCACACACTCGCCCACCACTTGCTCAGCCCGATTCCAAATAGACCACGGCCTGGTACTGGGATGGGGCCCAGCAGTTGGGGACTCCCGCTGTAAGCAGCAAACCAGGATATGCATAAATGCATGGAAGAAAACCACTCTAGTGTTAGGAAAAGCAGCTTCAGAAGACTGCAGTTAACACAGACATTCTAAATATTTTTACCCTTCAGATATTTTTACACTCCAAATATCTCTTACATATTCAAGCTGCTTTTCCAGACTTGTCTTTAGAAAAAAAGAAAGTACACAGCTTCTGTCTTAAAGTTTCAGATGTGAATAAAATGAATTCCAAAAGATTACTAGCACAGCAAAAGTACTAAGGATCACAAAGGTCTAAGGGATAAATTGTGGGATCATTATGTCAATTTTCCCACATAAATAAAGGAAAAAGAGAAGAAAAAAATTGTAGCTCAAGGTTAAATAGTGGAGTCCTTGAGCTTCGTTGTTTGCTTGCAGACATTTCATTACTGGATTAGGTAACATCAGTGCTAGAGAATATAGGTATTTTTTTCATTTATTCAGTAGCTTGCCCTGTGTACCCAGTGATGATGGGTGTGTGATTTTCTTCTTAATAGTTCCTTGATTAGTGTATTGTTTTTTTATTTGTCTGGTGTCAATCACTGCCTTATCTGGGTGTTGTTTGCTGTAGATGATGGGTTCTGGTCTTTTTGTTTCACCCTTAGCTTTTTTATTGTCTCTACTGGGTCTTTTGGTTTAATTAACACATTTTAGAGGGGTTTAGTTGGTTTGTATGCTATAGTGATGCTGTGTGACTATAATAGCCCGTTGATTGTTACTGAGATATTTTGGATGTATGGTAATGTGGAAAGGATACTTTTTCATGCCTTGTGTTGATTGTGCTGTAGTGGTTTGAGTAGTCAGGCACTTTTAGATAAAATTGTATGGGCATCCTTATTGTTGGAGATGTTGTACGGGCAGGTTCCACCACAAATGCGAGAACGACAAAAGCGCGCCTGACTAAACCGCGGTGACAAAAGCGCGCCGACCAAAGCGCGCCGATGAATGAGCACTGAAGCGCGCCGACAACAGCGTGCCGACAGAAGCACGCTGTAACCCTAACTCTAAACCTAACCCTAAACCTAACCCTAAACATAACCCTAAACCTAACCCTAAACCTTACCTTAAATTAAATCGCGCTTCTGTCGGCACGCTTTTGTCGGTGCGCTTTTGTCGGCACGCTTTTGACATCGCGGCTTTAGCGCCGCGGTTTCGTCGGCGCGCTTTTGTCGTTCGCGCATTTGTCGGGTCACGGTACGGGCAATCTTTTTCCTTCTTCTAGTGTTCTGGATTGCTAAAGTGTGTTTGTACTCTGTTGTACTACATTCCTAAAATGAAAACAAAGAAATCCAGAGTAGATCCTCTCCAAACAGCATCTTGATATGCATGGATGAACACCAGAGAAACAATCAGGCAGAAAACAATATCCTAATTAAGGAACCACCAAACAGCACACCACTGGCAAAGCAAGCTATTGTATATAAACAGGAAGCAAATCCTACACTCACTAGCAATGAGTTAAGTTATTTAGTCAGATAATGAAAGATATGTACGCAATAGCCATGCCAGAGTAGAGCACCAAAGACTCCACAGTCAAGCAAAAAAATTCGTAAAAACAGGGTATAAAGTTAAGACATATAGAAAGCACTGAGAATTTGAAGCAAATGCTGCTGCCCTCCCTAATTACCTATTATCATTACAGTGAAACTATCCTTTTTGTGTTGTATTAAATGTTAAAGTATATAAAACAACTAGATCACATAATCCTTTTTTTCCAGTTGGAGAAAAAAACAACCAGATCCAGTAATTTAAACTCAAAGACTTACGTATGAAACATTGTGTTTAAAAGTTTGTTTAAAAAATTCTCTTCAAGGACTTGTTTAAAACTGGCAAGATGTGCTCCAAAATCTTGACACAGAGTTTCTGCTTCCTCCCAAGTTCTTTTCATTAATACTTTTTCACTATGGAATACCTGTAAAATAAATTGAGCACTGCCTGAAAACACACTGTCAAGGCAAAATAGCGATGATGATGACGATGATAACACAACAATAGGAAATGAAAACATGGGCTTGTCAACATTAGTAAAGGCATCTTCCAGGGTGACTTATTATCACCCTTATTATTTGTCATTGCTATGGTGCAACTTCCAGTGATTTTGAAGAAAACCAATCTTGGCTATCCAACAGGAAAAATGCTAATAAAATCTCATCTTTTTTACATATGGATGATCTGAAGTTTTATGGAGAATCAGAAATTGAAATCCAGTCATTGACAAACCTTGTAACAATTTGTAACACAGATACAGCAATGGAATTTGATCTAGAGAAATGTCGTACAATAGCAATAAAGCAGGATAAAATCACAAATAGGAACGGAATTGAAACGCCCAATAGCCAAACCATCAGAAGCCACCAGGATGTAGCTCATTAGTATCTTGGCTTTTTATAGATAGATAACATCAAGCCTGGACAATTTAAAAATGTGATTAGTAAGAGTGCATCAAAAAAATGAGAAAAGTGCTGAAGACAAAATTAAATGGTGAAAACACCATCAAAGCCATCAATAATGATATGTTGGGTTGTACCTATGATATGATATACTGCTGAAATTATTAACTGGATAAAGCTGAACAGTTGGACAGAAAAACAAGAAAGCTAACAATATTCTCTATGCATCCCATTCCCAAAGTGTTATGGATAGATACCTGCTCTGCAAAAATGAGGCAGAGATTTACTTCAAGTCAAACAAATTATTGAAGAAAAGCATACTTTTTCATTTTAACGTAATCAGCATAATTTAAGAACAAGTACTGATGTAATTGATGTAAAATATGAAAAATGGGACTTACTGAACATGCAGGAAACAAAACATGAATATCAAAATAATGTCATAAAAATAATAGATTGCTGGCAAGGACAAGCATTAGATGGTCAATTTCTACAAAGGCTAGAAAGGAAAGATAATACAAATAAACCAAAACTAAAGAGGATAGAGATAAAACCCAGCAATGGCTTAAAACCAGAATTTTAACAAGAAACTGAAGGCTTCGTTTTGGCTCCTCAAGAGCGAGCTATTCAAACTAATGCAGTCAAGGCCAGAACTGAAAAACACACTATTTTTTTATATATATATATATTTGCTGTTGTTTTGAAATGTTATTTTCTATTGTTGTTTTCTGTATCTATTGCAATCTAAGATTTAATATTGAAAATATAAATAGCAAAGATACATCCTTTGGCAGTCAGTTATGTTACCCAAATCACTCGTCTGCTTATAATCATACAATTATGTTTTCTTTGCATCAGTTTTATTCAAAGGCATAAATTTTATTATTTAAAGATATATTATAATTGGGAGGAGGAGCCAACGTCGCGACAATACGGACGTGCGGTCTCGATACTCTGAGAACACAGCCGATACCTTTGCCGCTGGGTGGTCCAATCGGACCTAAACCGTCCTGAAGAGACAGTGAACAGGAAGACTACGTCTTGCTGACCTCAGGGACATCACAAAGTCCCTGATCGATGCAAAAGAAGTTCTTCAAGCTGGCGACAAAAAATCCAGCCAAGGCTGATGAAGTCGGGGCGGTTCCAAAACGGAAGGATACAGAAAGAGAAAGTGTTTCCAGCTGGTGAGGAACTTTTACTGTTTTAAAAAGAGACTGCCTATAAAAAACTTAAAATTAATTTAAATTAATT